AACCAGTTACTCTCGCCAGCACAACATGGATTTTTTAAGGGCCGGTCATGCGCTACCACCTATCTTGACTATCTAGACGATGGTACGAGCAAGCACGACCAAGGCCTGTATGTAACTACTCTTTTCTTAGGCTTCAAGCAAGCATTCGATAAGGTTCCTCAAAAACGCCTGGTCACTAAGTTGCATACATACGGTTTCCAAGACCCGTTGCTGTCCCGGCTTGGAACATCTTTAGAGGGTCGCTCCCAAGTAGTAAAATTCAGTAATCCCTACTCCTACCCTAGACATATACAAAGTGGTGTCGTCCAAGGTAGCGTGCTAGGGCCGATACTTTTTTAATCTATGTAAACGATATCTGCAGCGTTATCCGAAATGGCATTCCTCGCCTTTTCGCAGACGACTTAAAGATAGTCTACAGCTTTTCTCGTCCAGCACTAGTACAGGGTTTCTCCCAAATGCAAGGTCTGAAGACAGTATTCACGTTGAGCGTGATCCAGCACCTCCCTCTAAACCCAAACAAAGGAGTCATCCTCCATTTCGATAGATCCCACCTATTCCATTTACTACTATCTAAATTTTAACACTCTATGTACGCTGTAAAGTAATATTTCCTTGTTCATTTCACAACTAGCAGGACCTTCGGCAGTTTTTAATTGAGTTTAATGACATTCCGTCAGTACCACTCAGGGCTCGAGTCTTGTGGATATTTTGAGATGCATCAACGTGATGAAGTCTGTAAACTGGCTTCTATCATGTTAAAATCTTTTTTAACGCGGAAATAAAACATTTATTTATTTATTTATTAAGTGACACTACACTTGGGTGACATTGCACTGTAGATATGAAACACCATGAAAGACCACGGAATCGCTCACTCCAGGAGTTTGACATTTACGGAGCATGTAGATTCAATAGTTTCCAAAGGCAGAAGACTCATAAGTCTTCTTCACAGGAACATACCCACACTGAGGCAGAACTCATACTGCACAAGGTTGTGGTTCGCCCAATATTAGAGTATCGCACGGTTATCTATGGTAACATGAAAGTATCTGATAGAATTCGAGTACAGAACATCCGACGAAACTTTACTCGGAGCCTACTAATACAAAACGAAGGACTTGCATACGAAGCAAGGTGCAAAAAACTAGAACCAGAATCACTCTGGCTGAGACACCTGAAGCTCAACCCAACCTCTGGAAAATCAAAAACGAACTATGCCATCATTTTCAAATCAACACCGGCATGTAGCCTGCGTAATAGCGAGCACGCCATCCCTATAAATAGGTATCGCTCAAAACTTGGATGTAGGTGTTTCATAACGCGGCATAGTATGCTGTGGAACAATTTTCCCGCTCCTACACGGGCATGTCGATCTCTCGGCCAGTTTAAAAGTTACTTAGTGAATTCTTGCTATCCAACGATTCTCATCAATTCGTTGACGGCCAAACCATGAAAGGTAATACAAATTACAATGGTGCTACTGGTACCTAGACTTAAGGGGGACTAGCAGCAATGAAAAAAGTATGCAATACCGAAGACTAAACGCATGGGTTAAGGTAAAATCTAATTTTGAAAAACTGATCGAAGGTGGACAGGAAGCGGAGTGTGATACGACTCGCAACCGTGAACTCTGTAGCTACTCTAATGTAACCTCCATTTCTTCGTAACCTAGATGATCTCGTGACTTAACACCTATTTCTTAAAATTCTTCTCTTAAAATAATCCCTTTACTCCTAATTTGTAAATGGATCTTTTTGGCATGTACCATGTTTTATTATTTGCCCTTTGTTATCAGCACTTACATGTAAGTACTCAGCACCACCATATTGCTTCTATAGCCCTGATATGGTAACACTCAACAAGCAACACCATGGTCATCCCTCCCCTATGAACATATAAAGCTTCGTTACCATCTTAGCAAAAACCATGAATTTTATTTCAACGTTTATGACCCCATTAAACTTTTGTACATAAGTTTTCTACACATAAGCGAGTACCTGGTCCAAAATCTTCTATTCTTTCTATTCTATGGTAATATCTTCGGCTTCAGTTTAGTTTCCACTACTTTCGTGTGCACCTTCACCTTCTTTCCCACAAGCTTACCTCTAAATAGTTGGTTTTCGATCTTCTTCAAGTAACTTTTGTAGTCAGTACAAAGAACTCACCCAGATATATCACGGTTGATCTGCCCCTGAGCAGTGTTTTTGTGCTCCTGTTCCGAATTTCGCCCGCCGCTAGCTTTCGTTATTAATTTTTCATGTCTACCTAACTAGTTCTTCATTCATATGGAATCCCAGCAGTCACATTTATCAGTGTGCACCATGCCATAAAAACTTTATGACGGATGCAAACAACCCAAGGTCGTGACTGTACCACCTGCCCCTCCTTCAAGAATATTGGATGATTCAAACAATAGCCGAATAATTCCTAATTTCGAACTGAGCTTGCTTCACTATTCTGAACAATTATTCTGCGAGGCGTTAAATTTTTTTCTCTGGACGCACCTATTACGTGCCATGAATAACAGCACCTAATGTATAGATTACCATGGTACGTAACAGTCGTTTCTCATTACCAGTGTTCGAACCTGTAAGCTGGTTTGTATTCATGTAACTTATGTTGCATGAAATGTACTATTAATATTTGTCCAACCCTGCAGTTTTCTTTCCCATCCGGGTCGTTGCAATCCGCTTACCCATGTTTTACATATCACTTTACGCACTGGAGCTCTGACTAAGTCGTGTATGGGTTCGTTTACCATGTCTTCTTTATCACACGGATGCGAAGACATATCGGTTTCACAAATGTGCTCGTTACCAACTCTCAACAAATTCTTGTACAAACATGTCTGGGGGCCATTATTCTCCTAAAGTGGCAACAACTCCGCGGCTTAGTAAATGACAGAAATAAGCACTTACAAGGGTTAACGCTCGAAACTGAAAGTTGTTTGATCACTCGTTATATAGTGGAATTCAGTGAGTTATACAAGAAAGATCCATAGGTGATAACACAGGCTAATGAATATGCCAAATTTTAACTGGCACGCAAAATGAAATAGTGCATATCACAAGGAAGTCAACTATACTTATTTCAGCGACGAGAATATTTATTTTCTTACAAATTTGGTAAATGCTAGTTAGTCTGCGGCGACGAAATGTGTACATTCAGTTTGTCTTTCCACAGACCTCGTTGACCAAGAATAGGCGAGGCTTATACACCGGAGAACGATCTATGCAGATGGGCAGTGCTATGGGAATGAACGTTACATCTTCATTGGTAAAATGTTTCCAGTTTGTTTGTTTTTAGAAAGTCCACTTCGAATGTCCTGCTACTAAATTTGCACTTGAAAGTTGGTGACTACGGGTGTTGGTGGAACAATGGTAGAATGGTATTTAGACACCGATGTGTAATCCGAAGGAGTGATGACTGTTGTCCAAATATCTGATGCAGTATACTGATCGTTGCAACAACCGTAATGCCTTCAGAATTCTTTGGAGGTATAAAATTTGAGCGACGATCATATTCTGCGGCACCCAATTTTCCTTAGAGGATACATCCTTTCGACATATCACCAAGTGGCTTGAGACCGACAAAAACAAGTCTTCACACGTTCAACCCATGGTTCGAATCTTACGCCCACAAGCAAATGATAATTCAAATATTGCATTGAAGAACACTTGAGACAGTCCAAGTTGCATGAATCTTGATGCTGGTTGCATGCCCCTCAGCTTTTCAGAAAATGCCTCTTGGATCCCGAGAGCCGTCCGTTACGTTCTCCCCTCTTATTTTCTCCATCAAAAATCCACTTTGATCGAAAGGAATACTGGTCATTAGCCCTACTCCTCGTTGATATATCCTTGCCAGTTACACACATATATAGATATTTATTAGCAGACTGCTGAACATTAAGCTTCACCCCCGAGGGAAGTTTGCTTCTTCGAAAACACAAAAAGGGGTAAAGACGATAAAGAGCCTATTATCAGGACTGTGGCAGTCAATATTTGTCCCCTAACTGTGTCGTGCTTGCTATGGGTCATCGTGCTACATGGGAACCCCACTCGATTCCTGCGTTTTCCAAGTGGAGTGGTGTCGAAGCAGCTGATATCAGCACTTAAAGTCGAAGTAATCACAGTGCATAAACACGGTAGTAAACACTGATCCGTGCTCACTACCTTTCCTTGACCATTATGCCAGGCCCAGTCGAGCAATCTCTTCTGGCAAGCTAGCTACTTGAATGGATGCTATGATGTTGTAAGTTTTGTTTTGGTTTTATATTTCCGGCGCTCATAATCTAGTGAACTAGTGGATGATGCTCTGACGTTTGAAGCAACAGATTATGTTTGGGCCACAGTGTGAACAGTGTCAGCCCCCGAGTGGCGAACACACAAAACTGACAGCTTCCAAGAAGAACGTGACTAACCTCCTGGATTAGGTTACTAGCAACCACCAGGAAAATAGCAGAAGCACTCACTGGCAACAGCACTCGATAGTCTGTCCTTTACACAAAGCTTGAAAACCACTCAAGTTTCAGGCTTTCATACACACTTTGACACAAAAGTTATGAGGCCCATGCCTGAGCAATTGTTGAATCTTGGTCAACTTTTGGGTGACACATGGATCAGGCCATGTCATTTTTCATCCGGCACATGAAATTCATGCAAAAAATTAGGCCCTGGTAAGAGACTTGCATGCCGAGCTAAAGTCACAGGAACTTCGTTTGCACTTTTCAATCTAGATACATGAACGTATAAAGGGGTTGACGGCTTTTAGGGATTTCTGTATTTTTCCTCATTGGCATTCTGATATATCCCGACCAGAAAATCATGCATGCATCTCTATTATGGATGTTGAATTCATCAGTAATTATTATCAGTTAGCCATTTATCAGTTGACATAATTTGTTCAATCCAATGTTTTAATCATTCAATGTGCAGACGTCTTTAGGTCACTCAAAGAGGGTTATTCAGCTCACAATATATGGCGCGGATCTAGAATCACGTATGGCTAGTGGTTCGCGAGAATTGCTTAGGCTGTTCGCCGCTACTGTAAGTTTGCATCGTATCCTTATGGTGTATTTGAAGATACAAAATGCAAGCACTCTAGCCGGTGAAATGCGGTTCATTGACCTGAACTCCGCTTTCAAAATGACGTGCGAGTTACAGCAGCGTGTTGTTGATCTTATTTACGCACATAAGAAGCATCTTATAGCCTTAGAAGCTATCGCAAGGATCAAGCAAGAAGGTAATTTTCTCTAGTGAAGCTTCTGACTCTTATTTGTAGACCCAGGCCCAGTAAGTTTGAAGAAAACTTTCATAAAACATTCGTAGACTACAGGTGAAGAGGTGAGCGTTCAACACGAAAATGCTGATACTGAAAATTCTGAACGTGGAGATTGTGGTAGGTCTCACTTTAGTAGATCTGTTTACCCTCTTGATGTGGTGAGTAAGCTAGTGCACTCTCGCCACAATATAATGGTTTGGTAAATATGACTGGTTTTAGGCTGTAATAGTAACTGAATGCTAGTAACAACCCAGTTTATTTTTTACTACGGGAAACGGTTGCGTCTTTTTTCATCTATTTCATAGAAGGTGAGTGTTTATGCTGTAAGTTGAGAGACCTGTTGACGTTTATGTTTTGATTTGCAGTGTTTCTCGTAGTTACCATATCCTGTTTATTTACATCAGGTAATTGTTCTTGCAACCTAATATTCTGGCATTACTAGATTTCTACCGTTTTCAGGTGATATGTTGCTACCGTCGAACTCAAGGTTCCAAGACGAGTTTTCCTACAGTAGGGTTAGTGTGTGTAAGTATGAATCAAATGGTGCTCCTCACTTTCTATATTATTATTGATGACCTTAACTGTACTAAATTACGAACGACAATCTGCTCTAAGCGTGGACAGTGTAGGTGTTGAATCCAGAGGGAGTTCAAAAGATGAGACCGTTATACTCAGTCATCACTTAGTTTAACTGCACTACTGTGATCTTAGGACCTATTATCTCCGCAATAATCATGTCAACATATTATACATTCTTGAAAAACAGGTCAAAACCATGCATATTTATTGATGAAGTCATACATATACAGTATAACGTTTCCATTATGAGACGCATTACCAATCTGTCATTTGAAAATTATAAGCGATTTATGCTCAGAAATTTGTCAAACTTTTCTGGTGAAATTGAAATGATTGGTGGTAAAATGCTTTTGAGTTAGTGCCGAATGCTACAATGTCGTGAACACAACTCTATACGATTACCTCCCAAATCTTATCTTTCCATGTGGTGACAAACACTCGGTAGACTAATTGATCGACAAAATCATTCTAGAACCTCGCACACAGGTGCGTCGGCCCAAGTTTCCACACTCCATAGTGCGGCTGCGAGACATCACCGTCGGAAGTAGAAGATATGACGCAATTACAAGGTTTCGATCACAGATATCTTCGTAGCATTGCTCGCTCTTGGTGGAATCACCGCGGAAGCAATGTTGAGGTGAGGCGAAAGGTACTAGGAAAGACAGGCAAATCGATTGCTGACGTTGCCAACCTTCGTTGACTGAGATAGCTTGAACATGTACTGCACATGCCGAGCCACCACCTACCTCGACGTGCCATTCTGGGGCTAGGGAAAGTTGAATTAGGTTGGAAGAGGGTTAAAGGTGGCTAGATCAAGACCTACGACTGGTCGACGAAGTCGCTAATTGATGGCCTGAGGTGTGTGGGGAAATGTAAACTGCCAGGTTTGGGGCTCCTAGACGCAAGGAATCAGTGAGTGGTTGAGGACTGAAGTTGGCGTGTCTGAAAATCGATCAAAATGGCGTAGATGTATGATTCCTCGACGTCTTCTAGAGCTTGAATATTTCTACTAACCGTTATCTTCGGATTGGTCATTATCTCACACAACTTTGTCTACTTCGAAATCACTTTTTATATCCATCTGTTCTTTGCACACTACTGTGCAGTGTGGAAACTTGAGCCGATGCACCTGTGTGCGATGTCCTAGGTTGATATTTTCAGTCATGCAGATAACGTGGAAGTAGGTCAGTGTCTGTGAAGTCAGACGTACTTAAAGTTAGGTGAATTTTGAAGATTCATCGCACTGGTCAGATCAAGTCAAGTTAATAACCTCACTTAGATCCTGTATACGTGTCTGAAGCATCATACATCTACGGCTAAAGATTCGAGAGTCCTGGTGAACGATGCCTGCTGTCCGGCTTGGTATAAAGTTCAGATGTTGAAAGTTTCTTCATGAAACCGATGGCCAGATTTAGACTAGAAATAAGGTTTCGATTTTTTTTGTTCATTGGCAGTGATTGGGTAGGGCGTAAGAGGTGGGTGGTTGACACTTCCAGGCTCCCGACACCATGAGAGGCTATTCCTTCTTAAGAGACCTGAAAGCGAAAAAGACTTGTGTGATCACAGTCACTAGAATCTTTGTTTGTGTTCTGTCACAGCCTTTTGCGGGATGTTGTTTTGGGGTTCAGTTATTCTAACGCTGAATAGAAAAAACCTATACAGACAGCACCAGAACACCGTTGGGTAGGTGAGGTGTCTTATTTTTAGGGCTGACATTTTCTAAACCCGCCTCCCCCACTTCTCATCAGGAAGGCTGCATCAAGGTGGCACTGCTGAATATTCAACGGAACCACCTCACTGGTTTCATATCCCATCCAGCTGTCGGCAGTACGACTTCGCGAAATGAATATTGTTCAGCTTTGACGTTTACAACACGACCGAAACAAGCTGGCTTCAGAAAGAACAAATTATGTGCAGATCAAATTGCAACGCTACGCATCATCATAGAACAGAGCATACAATGGCATCACCATCATCATTATCAACATAGGACCAGGCATTACTGCGTAACGGTCCGAGTTGCCACACCTCATATCAGCACATCAAGTAGAAGTGTAGTGAGGTGAAGGATGAAGATAAGTGAATGCAGTCAAAAGAAATATAAAGTACGAGAAGAAAGGAAAGAGGAGTGACAAAATTGTGAGACTCGGTATAACGTTGTTAAGATGAGGATAATGTGTGTACGTGTATACATCTGCGCCACTGACTTCGGTTCTGAGCCATATCACCTAGGGTCTCCAACCACTGGTTCCTCTTATCCCGCGAACCCCAACCACCTAGTCTGCATCGTCCTACATGGCTCAAACCAACAGTCAGAGACTTCATACATTGGTGCCATGTTTTAGTCTGGCCACCTCGGGCCTTTTTCCAGCCTAGACCCACCTCAGCCAACATTGTGTGACGAGGCAATCGGTGACTAGACATACGTAGTACCTGTCCCGACCATCTCAGTCGATGAAGGTTCATAACCTCATCAACTGACTTACCTCTTCTCCATAAAACTCTACACCTAACTTCTGCATTATTCACGTGGTGACACCACGTAATACATCCTATACTATGAAGGCAACGGTGGTCAAACACCTAAAGCCTTTTTATATCTTCCACTTTCACTGGCCATGTTTCACAGCCATACAGTAGAACAGACCGGACTGCTGTGCAGTACACACGACCTTTAATAGACAAACGAATATCATGGCGGCGCCATAGGTGGCGCAAATTGGCAAAAGCCAATCGAGCCTTTTGTATCCGTGCAGAAATCTCATCGGCAACTAACCCACCGGGGTTGATCCTACTTCCCAGGTAAGTGAAGTGGTCAGCACACTCAACCACTTCACTCTCTATTGTTAGCCGCGGTACCGCTGAAGATTAATCCTGGAGCAAAAATTTGCATTTGGGTGGTGAAAATCGCATCCCAAACATTCTCAAATTCCCACTCAAAGTGTTCAGAAGACTCTGCGTCTTGTCAACGTCTTCACCTAACAGGACTATGTCATCTGCATATTCTAGATCTAAAGAAAATTCACCTGTGATTGGGTCAACGTTTGTGTAATTAGGAGACGAGAGGGAAACCTCCATTAGAATATCTATGATAAAACTAAATAAGAATGGGGATAGTGGGCATCCTTGACGGACACCACTTGATGAGTATAGCTCCCTGGACAACTCGCCATAGGCTCTAACATGCCCACAAGTGTTCGAGTAGAGAGCTTTCAATAAGGTGATTTACTTACTAGGCACGCCTTTCAGTGACAGACATTGCCATAAGACTTCTCGATCAACGGAGTCAAATGCCGCCTTCAGGTCGAGAAATACAGCTATTGTCGGGCGTCTGTAAGCATGCCTATGTTCCAGGACCTGGCGCAGTGTGAATATTTGGTCGATACACCCACGGCCAGGTCTAAAGCCTGCCTGGTTTTCTCGGGCTTGGTGTTCCCGAGCTCCACTCAGGCGTCGGAGAATTATAGAACTTAGGATCTTAGACACTATGTTCGTCAGGCTGATTCCTCTGTGGTTATCACAAGAGGACTTCTCGCCTTTCTTGAAGACTGGAATGATCAGTGACTTAGACCTGTCAGAGGGGATCGTATTTGATTCCCATATACTGGCTAACACTTCCGTTAACCTGACCAAGAGCACTCTACCACCATTCTTGTATACCTCAGCAGGTAGTCCGTCTGGTCCTGCTGCCCTTCCCCGTTTCAGGTTACCTACCGCTTTCTCAACTTCTTCTAGTGTTGGGGGGCCTGTCTCTATGTCTCATTCAGGATCCGACTGGATAGCGGGCAATGCAATCGTGGCTGGAGGCCAGTTAAACAATAACAGTCAACTCTCTACCGCAACCTAGTTTCGACAGCGTCGACCGAGGAGTAATTTGGCAGTTGCTTCAACACTACCAAGAGCCAGAAATCCTTATCAACCTCATTCAACAGCAGCTATATGATGCTACATGCCGAGTGATTCACAATGGAAAGCTCAGTGACGCCTATGAGGTGAAGTGAAGACAGGAGTAAGACAAGGCTGCCACCCACTATCACCTATGATCTTCCTGATTGTGGTCGACTGGACCATGCAGCAAACCGTGAGGAGCGAGAAGATGGGCATACGCTAGACCGATAAAAAGACCCTAGACGATTTGGATTCCGCCCATGATGATTTATGTCTGACGTCTCTTCGCACAAACTCGAAGATCTACAGCGGAAAACCAACAAGTTGACAGGAGAGACAGGACAGCGAAAACGGGACTTCAAGTGAAGACGAAGGTGATGAAGATACGCAACAACAACAAGCACCAATCACCATGATCAGGAGAAATCTAAAGGAAGTAGTACCTTTCACCTACATAGGCAGCATCGTTCCAACTACAGGTGGCACAGATGAGGATGTCAAAGCCAGGATAGGAAAGACAGCAAGACAAGTCTTCCTGTATTAATCTGAAACCAGTGTGGAGATCTACTGCACTCAGCACAAAGCGTGAACAAGGTCCGGATTTTTAACACCAACGTCCAGTCAGTGCTGCTATATGGTTCAGAAACTTG